CAATTAAAAAATGGGCAAAGATTTGAAGAGATAATTCTCCAAAGAAAATATACAGATGGCCAATAAGCACATGAAAAGATGTTCAACATTACCAGGGAAATGCAAATTAAAACCACAACAGCCACTGCAATGATGTAAAGTAATTAGCCTCCAACTAATAAAAATAAATGGAAAAAAAAAAAAAACAACAAAAAAAATAAAATAAAACCACAACAGGATAGGACTTCACACCCAGTAGGATGGCTAGAATCAAATAGTCAGATAACAACAAGTGTTGGGAAGGATGTGGATAAACTGGAACCCTTACATACTGTTAGTGGGGATGTGAAATGCTGTAGAAAAGAGTTTAGCAATTTTGCAAAAAGTTAGAATGACCATATGACTCAACAATTCCACCCCAAGTATATAAGAAAACTGAAAACATACTCATACAAAATGCTGTACAAGAATGTTATATGCAACATTATTTGTAATAGTAAAAAAGTGGAAACAACTCCAAGGTCCTTCAGCTGTATGTATGTGCTAAGTCACTTGAGTCATGTCTGACTCTTTGTAACCCTGTGGACCAAAGCCTGCAAGGCTCCTCTGTCTATGAGATTCTCCAGGCAGAAATACTGAAGTGGGTTGCCATGCTCTCCTCCAGGGGAATCTTCCTGACCCAGGGATAGAACCTGTGTCTCCTGCGTTGGCAGGGGGTTTCTTCACCACTAGCAGCACTCAAGAATGGAAGTCCATTCTTCAGCTGAGGGACAGATAAACAAAAGGTGATATACCCACACAAAAGAATAAGACTGAGCCATAAAAAGGAATAAAGTACTGTTACAATGTGATAAACCTTGGATAAAACTTGAAAATGTTATGCTAAATGAAAGAAGTCAGTCACCAAAGGCCACATATTATATGATTCCATTTATATAATATGGCCAGAATAGGCAAATCCACAGAAACAGCAAATTAGTAGTTGCCAGGGAATGAGAGGAGGAGGGAATTGTAACTAACACGCTAATAGGTATGGATTTCTTTTTGGGGTGGTGGAAATGTTCTGAAATCAGATATAGGTGATGGCTGCACAATGCAATGAGTATATAATAAATCACTGGTATATACTTTTAAATTATGAATTTTATATTATATGAATATCAATAAAAAATGTTAAAATTTAAAAAGAACTGAACTGTCAAAAAACATATATGAGATAATTGGGAGAATTTGAGCAAAGATGTCCACTTAAGGATTAAGGAATTAATGTTAATTTTGAGAGAGATTTTTTGCAGGGATCATAGCAGAGGTGGGAGTGGGGTGTAATACTATACCTTTTTTAAAGTCTATCTTTTTGAAATAATTACTAGAGTATTTATGGATGATATGGGTAATGTTTGAGATTTGCTTCAAATAATCTACTACAGGGGATACTAAAGTATGCACAGAAGCATATATGAAACAATATTAGCCTTGTGTTGATAATTACTGAAGCTGTATAGTAGGCAGTGCATTCTCTATAATCGAAATTCTCCAAAATCAAAAGGCAAAAAAGGGATCAGTATTTGGTAACTGTAGTGAAAAAAGAATCTATAAAATAATCATTAATGAATTAAAAAAAAAAACATTAGGAGAAAGACTGACAGAGAATTTTACTATGGGTGAATCAGGCTGGTAACACTTGAAACCAAGACCACTTTGTACTTGTGGAGGTAATGCAACAGGAAATACATAGACTACCTATGAGGCATTCTTGGCAAAAATATGAACCAGAATCTAATCAAGCCTCTAGCTTTAATGACGTTTTATATGAAATGTGAAGAAATGTGAATTGTGAAATAGAGAAATGTGAATAGAGAAATCACTTTTCTAAAGAACACAAGAAAACAATAAAATCTAGAATGTGAAATACACTTGTGGAAAAAATATTTCAGTTTTTTCCAAAAGATAAATTATAAGAAAAAGAGTGAGATTTTAAAAGACTTGGTGCAAAAAAAAGACTTATGATACATAAAAACCATTACATGTGGAAATCTTGCTTGGATCCTGATTTTAACAAGCCAACTATAAAAGGACATTTTGAAACAACCACAGAAATGTGAATATGGACTGGGTGAAAGATATTATTAAGGAGTTACTTCTTATTTTATAAGTTATGATAGTGGCACTATAGTTATGAAAGAAGTCATTATCTGTTTAAAATGCACACTGAAGAATATTCTAATGAAGTAACGTGTGAGATTTGTAAAATTCCAGGGAAAAATATACAGATACATACACACATATATAAATATATATGTACATATATAGAGATGGATGAAGCAAAATTAGCAAAATGTTAGTAATTTTGGAAGATGGGTGATGGTTACATGGTACTTCATTGTATTATTGTCTCTATCTTAGTATATGTTCAAAAATTTCCATAATAAAAAGGTAAGGAAAAAAGCAGGGCAAGAGGAGGGAAGGAGAAGAGAAAGGAGCAGACATGAGCCAGACCAATGATTGAGCCTACAGAATGTGAGCTGTCGTATTTTCTAAAGCCCTGAAATCCAATGTTCTTTCTAATTTCAGGAGTCAGGAAAAGTCTTGTCTCAGAGAGATGAGATAATGGAAATAATCAGACTTAGGAGTATCCTACTAATGGTAACAGAGTAATTTCGACTGGGATATGCATGTCCGAATCAGCAAACTTCCCCTAAACCTGCACTGCCATTCCTTCTGGCAGAATGCCTATTAAGTTGGCCTTGGTAGGAAGTATGCTCCTTCCCTTCCCATCTGCAGCATCTGCTCTCCAGTTCCTTCTCTGAGGTAGCCTGAAAGAGATTAGGTCAAGCTGGCTAGGTATATGACCAGGTTACAGCTGTCCCTACAAATTCATCTGAACTGCCACTGGTAGTTTATTTGTAATGAACAATTTTCAAATTATTTGTAATAAATAATTCAACTTTGTCTTTGAAAATTCATCTAAAAAGAGTGTTTGAAGGGTAATAACTTGAGCAACCCCAATACTGTAGGTAATGAGAAATCAAAACCTTTATTACTCCTTACTACCCTCAACAATTTGGGAGGACTAGCAAATAGTAGTACTTGTAGTAGATAGACTATATATGAAATGGAAGATCACAGGGGATGAGCCATACCTCTATTTTTCCTATTAGGGGACTCATAAGGAAAATTACTTTTGCAGACTTGCCCTAACATCATGGAGCATTTATCTTCATAAAGGTCCGTAACCACATTGGGAACACTGGGATTTGCTAGTTCCAAACATCTCTGGGAGAGGAAACACTAGATGTTTAAGATGAACAGAATACACTTCAACCAACTAGCATTTAAGAGCCATCTCCTTTCCTTCAACACCACAGTTGTCTTCTTTCAGCATCATGCCGGTAAGGCAAAATGACCACAAAGTTACTATGAGTTCCTTTGTAGCTTCAAAGCAATTGTAGGTAAGGTTTTAAATGTCTGATTTTCCTTTGCATGGGCTAAGGCAGCCTCAAAGGAATCACTGGCATATAGGTAGATTCTTGGGAACCAGACTGCTTCAGGGCTAAATTATTACTGGAGTAGACAGATGCATAAATATAGCTAAGGAGAGAAGCCTAGATGTAGCGCCAGAGCTAAAGTTGTCAGATCTAAGATAGAGTTGCAAATAAATGATGAGGCAAAAGTACAAAAGCTGAAAATATCAGAAATAATAATATATATTAGAAATAGGTTAGAAAATAGATATATTGAAGGCCCTGGCTAGGATTTAAGGAACCTGCATTTAGCAGTTGGTGGCCATGTGGTACTGTCAACTGGTTTAAAGGTACAGAACTGGGCCAAACATAACAATGTATTTTTCTAATACAGGATATTCACTGTTTCAATGGTTACCTTGAAATATCCTAATCTGGAGAAAAACTAGATAGAAAGCTATCCATGACAACTGTACTTTATGAAAAGGATGAATTCCTAAATGGCCATTCTCTTTCACTCAAATGGTGTTACCACCTCCCAAAGAACAGTCTTGGGGCAGAGAAGAACTGTATTTCATTTCAAGCTGGACTACTCATCTACCAAAATACCATTCTGACCAAAGAAACAGATGCAAAATTACAGTCACAGCTGCATTCTGTACAGAACAAGTTGGATAATGGTGTTTTAAATTGCTAATTACACCGCTAATGATTTTTTTAGTGGCAGTGCAGTATTTTGCCACCTTTGTTTAAATTTTTTAGAAAAGCATCTAGGAAGTTTTAAAAATGGTAAATTGTTAAATACCAGTGAGTCTTCTGAAGAGAAATTCCATATAAAACCCATTCTTGAAATGGCATTCTCATATGGGATCTCATACAGGAGCCTATTTATTGACTAGCTATTTATTTTTATTTACTTTCTCACCAATTCATTTGCATTTAAGATTACTAAGGCCATAAGTATCCTAGTATTAGTGTTTGTATCTAGATCCACTGTTGGTATGAAAAGATAATAAACAGATAATAAACTAGCATATGTCATGATATGCTGGTACTGGGAATGTGCTATGACAAGATTTATAAACTGTAACAGCAACAGTACAATTTTATTCTTATTGTGACAACCATGGTGAAAGTTATCACAGTGCTAGTATTTTATGTTTAACCATGTCAGCGAGGTGAGGGGGTAGTTACCTTTTTGATATAAAAATGTTGTTAATGTTTTATTTCAATTTAGCAGATTACAGAATGTACATTAAAGCACTGTCTACTGTTCCATCTTTATTTATCTGCATTTAAGTTGCAAAGTATTTTTTTCTACTAAATTATTTCATTAAGGCTTCTAAACAATTTGTCCCTTAAATAAAAATCTCAAGCCTGCAAGGAATTTCCATATATTACAAATTTTATATGTAGAAAATGGTGTGCCAATAACAATTATGTCACAGGAGTTTCTGATACTTCTTACATTTAGTATAAGAGAAAATTAGCTGTTAAAAAAATAAAAATGCAATCTTATTATGTTATTATGCAACTACAAAGTCACAAGTAAATACTTACACTTGCTTTTAACAGACCATCCAATTTCAGTGATCTTTTAACACTGCAAACAAAATATTTAAAGACATCTTAGATTTAATATGCTTCAAGTAAGCCAAGTATTTAAGAGTAATCTGTATAAACAAAGATTCCATTTTAAGTTACTTTCAACAACTAAAGTAGAAAACCTATGAAGAAAGCAATTTTCACAATGAGGAAATTGTTTTCTTAATAGCATATATCAAGATGAAATCATAATTAAATATTTAAATGGATTTTTATGAGTTGTATATATATGCGCTATCATACAATTCAAACATTAAAGTTATATAATAAAATACTCTTAGTAAAAAACTAATATCTTTGTGTTTTAAAATATCACTAATGAAAAATTATAGATAAGAGCAAAATCATTTACATACCTTCAATGGAGATGTTGAAAGCATTTTATTTGCAAAAATAATATACTAGATATTAAAATAAAGGTATGAGCAAGGTGAAAAAGTTTTACACTTTATTCTAGCTTTAAACATGATTCAGTGCAACCAGACTATGACTTAACTGAGTAACAGATGCTCTATGTCTTTATAAGTCCCCAATCCATAAGAAACTACTTTTTTGTCTCCTTCACTATACTGATTCAGGAACATGCCAGGCTCTCTCTGTGCAAAATCTGTTCTGCTAAACTGGATGCCCAGCTGTTGGTGACAAAGCTTAGAAAGGAAAGCTGAATATTTATAATACTTTATTTCGTACAGCTGTCTTCTAAAGAGCAGTCATCAACATTTTATTGAAAGCAGATTAAATGTTCAAAGGAGAAAAAGGTCAATATAAATTAAAACTAGTTTTCTCGGTGACAAATGCAGCATTAAAAGTATCTTCTTAATCTCTGAGAAAAAGAAATAAAATTACTTAAAATATTAAGAGAATTTGAGCATAAAGAAAAAAATTTATTATAGCCTGTATTACAGAAAACAAGACAAAATTTATAGATCCTAGAAAATGACTATGCATAAATGACTACTGAATTTCAAACAAGTGACAGGAGCAAGAATAGAAGAAATAGACAATTTATAAAATTTACTCAGCAATAAATGTTAAATACAAAAGTTTATCTAGAATAGTTCATTTAATTTTCCTATTATATCAGCCTAATAAATAACATTATTTCTTAAGATTAACTAAATTGGTTTAAAGAATTACTCATATCTTTTAGAAGTCCACTTGGAATATATTTAATGTGAATTCTCAATGAAGCAAGAGAACAGAGGTACGAACAAATAAAAATGGCACTTAATTCAAAAAAGCACACATATTTAGTTTTGGAATATATATTACCCTATTCAGGTGTGTGAGACCTTTTTGTATATATAAAACTTCAAAGTGAAAGTGAAAATGAAAGTTGCTCAGTCATGTCCAACTCTTTGGGATCTCATGGACTATACAGTCCGTGGAATTCTCCAGGCCAGAATACTGGAGTGGGTAGCCTTTCCCTTCTCTAGGGGATCTTCCCAACCCAGGGATCAAACCCAGATCCCTGGCATTGCAGGCAGATTCTTTACTAGCTGAGCCACAAGGGAAGCCCATAAAACCTCAAAAGTAGAAATCAAAAACTAAAAGTACACAGTACAGTTTTAGCCTTTGTTTTTACATCCTGTTAAGATGCAATACGACTTTTCAGAAGTAAACAAACCCCACCCTGACATTAACTGCTTAAAATACTATATTGCTTTATGAGTGATGGCTAATTCTTAGAAAACTAAATGCTTATATTTAAAAGGTTTCTAGTTAGGTCTGAGGTTGATCTAAGAAGCCCAAGGAGATATATGATAGTAAATAAGAAAGTGATCTGAGTTAGACTGTTATCTTCCCCTCTCTTCAATGAGAATCTAAAAACATGGGTTTATTGTGGGTAATGTGGTTTTCAGATAATTCAGGCATCTAATGACCAAAAGCTGGTAATATTTACAAAAATCATAAAGACATTCACCAGACAAGACTAGGAGGGACCTAAGAGACTACTTGGTTCATCCAATAGGGAAGACTTGGTGTGATTTACCCACTGTTAACACAATCTCAGGGAAACTCAGATTTCACATCCCAATAAATCCTTGTTGAATTGAGGGGGAGGTGCTAAAGAAGAGGTAAAGAAGAGCAAACTACTAGAGGAATTTATGACCATCTATTTTTACCATTCTGTTAGAACTGGGCCCAGTGTCAAGATACAAATTATTAAATTAAGCACCCACTAAATGCTTTTACCTTTTTGAAAAAACAACCAACAGTAGCACAAACATGAGATGATGTTAAATGGATTAGGACTGTGTTAACAGAAACAGAAAGAGATGGATGAAATGCACAAAGGACAGGCAAAACTTGATTATATGTTTATATATACAAATATTTTCTGAAAGTATTTACTCATCTGCTACCAGTATTAATTAGTAATTAAAAGTGATTTATCTCTGGTAGTTCTATAAAGTACTAAATAAGTATCTCTTGTGGTTACTACCTTGGTTTTAAAAAAATGAAAGTCGCTCAGTTGTGTCCGACTCTTTGTGACCCCATGGATTATACAGTCCACGGAATTCTCCAGGCCAGGATACTGCAGTGGGAAGCCTTTCCCTTCTAGGGGATCTTCCCAAGCCAGGGATGGAACCCAGGTCTCCCACATTGCAGGCAGATTCTTCACCAGCTGAACCACAAGGGACGCCAAATACTGGAGTTGGTAGCCTCTCCCTTCTCCAGTGGACATTCCCGATCCAGGAATTGAACCCGGTTTTATCAGGGCTTCTCTGATAGCTCAGTTGGTAAAGAATCTGCCTGCAATGCAGGAAACCCCAGTTTGATTCCTGGGTTGGGAAGATCCCCTGAAGAAGGGAAAGGCTACCCACTCCAGTATTCTGGCCTAGAGAATTCAGAACCACAAGATAACAATTCACAACCATTAGGCTGACGACCATCAACCTCACCCCACCTCCCAAAAAACCTCCAGAAAACAGGGGTTTGTCAGAATGCAGAACTGGAACTCTTATGCTGATAGGACTGTAAAATGGTACAGATGCTATGGAAATAGTTTGTCAGTTCCTCAAAAAATTAAACATAGAATTAACATATAAACCAGCAATCCCAATTCTGAACATATACCCAAAAGAACTGAAAGTAGGGACACATCTGGACATTCATGTTCATAACAGCATTACTGACAATAGCCAAAAGGTGAAAGCAGTGCAAGTGTCTGTGGACAGGGGAATAAGTAAAACAAATTTGGCATATACATATCTGTGTGTGTATACACACAATCACACACACACACCCCACACACAAAAGGGAATATTATTCAGCCTTAAAGGGAAAGATATTCCACATACTACAACATGGATGAGCCTTGAAGTCATTATGCTAGTGAAATAAGCCAATCAAAAAGGGACAAATACTATATAATTCCATTCAAGTGAGGTGCTTAAAAGCAGTCAAATTCATAAAGATAGAAAATAGAAAGGTAGTCACCATGGGCTGGGAGGAGAGGTGAATAGGGAGTTACTGTTTGACAGAAAATTTCAGTTCTGCAAGATTAAAAAAAGTTTTGGAAATGAATGATGATAACAGCTGTACAACAATATGAAAGTACAGCTGATCCTTGAACAACATGAGTTTGAACTGTGAGGATCCACCTATACTTGAGTTTTATTTTTCCAACAAATACATACTATAGTACTACACAACCACAAATGGTTGAATCCATGCATGTGGAACAAGGGATATGCAATGCTGATTGTAAATCTGTAAGTGGACTGTAACTGGTGTCCTTAATCCCCAAATTACTCAAGGGTTACCTGTACTTAAATGCCACAGAACTACACTTTCACTAAGTCATGTCTGACTCTTTTGTGAGTCCATGAACTGTAGCCTGCCAGGCTCCTCTGTCCATAGACTTCCCAGGCAAGAATACTGGAGTGGGCTGACATTTCCTTCTCGAGTATATTCTCGACCCAGGGATCGAATACGTGTCTCCTGCACTGGCAGGCAGATTCTTTACCACTGAGCCTCCAGGGAAGCCTCACTATATACTAATTACATCCCACCTATTATTTCCTAATTACATCCCACTTATGGGTAACTCTTTAAATTCTACAGGGTTTTTTTTTTCATTTCCACCTTAACCCAAATCTATACCTATGCCCACAATTTGAATGTAAGTCCAGCTTTAGGTGTACTAGGTTTAGATTCACTGGGATCAAAATTCTGTTTGCTACCAGCATTACTGCTGGTGAGAATTTAAGAAAGATAAAGATATATATTACAGTTTCATATCAACAGGTAAAGAGAGTAACTGTATAGAATTAGCCATATTACTCTTTAAGACCATCGTCCACTATTTTATTTAGATTACCACATGGTAATATCCTGACTGGGATTCTCTAACTCATCAGAGGGCTTCCCTGGTAGCTCAGCAGTAAAGAAACCACCTTCCAATGCAGGAGACACAGATTGGATCCCTGATCAAGGAAGAGCCCGTGGAGAAGGAAATAGTAATTCACTCCAGTATTCTTGCCTGGAAAATCTCATGAACAGAGGAGCCTGGTAGGCTTCGGTCCATGAGGTCACAAAGAAATCAGACATGACTTGGCAAATGAATAACAATTCATCAGAACAGAACAAGTGCATGAGTTTTAGTATACAACATTACTAATAGCAGTTACAATATTTTTTTTAAAAGTTGTTCTAGAAAAAAATAAACTATCATTTGATTTTTAATAAAGAACCAGGAATGATACTTCAAAGATTCATGAAGCTACATGACTTAAGGTTCCCTTACAGGACTTTCTCTTTTTTAACATTAAACAAATATATTGCTTAATGGATTATTATAAGGCAACCACACTTGTAACCATCACCCAGGATGAACAAACAGAAGTTTGCCATCTGTCTATGGTCATACCACCCTGAATGAGCCCAATCTCATCTGACTTCAGAAGCTAATCAGGGTCCGACCTGGTTAGAACTTGGATGGGAGATGTGTGTCATATATGCCCCCAAACCCTTCTTTTGTCCCATCCTGTTCAGTTTTTTTTCTCCCTCATAAGTA